CCCCGTAGGCAGAGCCGAAGACTCACATAAAGTAAAAGTTCCTCTGAACTCAAGTGTTAGCAAGGGTTATGTTGCCTGGAAGAGAAAAGGTTTGGGGCGGGGCATGTGTATGCAGGGTGGAAAAAAGTGGAGGTAGTCAGAAAGCAAGAGACCCGCCCTCCCTAATCAGTTTCCCTGAACTTGGAACCCCTATAACCAACCCCTGGTAGGCACTGCTCTGCGCCCAGTGATGCCCTTACCATGGAATTGCACTGACTTCTGATGTGTTTGATGTTAATTCTTTACTGTCCACAGTGGCTAGATTGGTCTGCCTGTTTTATTATCATATAGATATGTCCTTTACTCTTCTATTTATATTAATTTTTGTAGTGTAAATTATTAGACTTGTTCATGAATAATGCATTCTAAATTTAGTTGTGTCCTCCTTTTGATTGCCTGTTGCAGGCAGGCACTGATAAAGGCTTTTGATGATGATTATGACTTCAGTGATTACCGTAGAAATCAAAGACTATTTCTTGTCATTTGGAATACCGCTCCTCTGAAAGTGATAACCTCCTCTTCTCTTACAGGTCTTCTCTCACAAAGAGAAGGTGGGGCAGCGTTGGCTCACTGAGAAGTCAGAGAAAAGGGGGCCTTGGGGCTGGTTCAGCGGGTTAGCTTGGGACCAGCTGCTGCTGCTGCCCACTGCTGCCCTGATTACAAGTCTCAAGGTCCCTTAGGGCTTGGGAGATGCGTGCCTGTGGGGAAGAAGATGGGGAAGGCACTGAACCCTTCCAATGTGAAGCAGAAGACCTGCGTTTCACCAACTTCTATATGACTCTATTGCACAAGTGCAATCCAGAAAAAGCTCACAGGGCTTGCAGATAGGGCAGAGAGGTGAAGTTAAAAAGTAGATGTGTGCCCTGGCCGGTGTGGCTCAGTGGGTTAGCGTTGTCTGGAGCACTGAAGGGTTCAACTCCCAGTCAGGGCACATACCCAGGTTGTGAGTTTGATCCCCGGTCGGGGTAGGAACTGAAGGCAACCGATTCATGTTCTCTCTCTCTCTCTCTCTCTCTCTCTCTCTCTCTCTCATCAATGAAAAAATACCCTCAGGTGAGGATTTTAAAAAATCCTGTCAGAAGTCTACACCTCTTCCCTCTCAGGGCCAGTGGTCTGAAACACCTTTTCTCCCCACAAGGATAATTCTTCTAGAACCCTCAGGTTCTGGGTGTGATGGGTGAATAGCCCTGCATATCATCTTTTGCAGAGATTCCTTCCCATTATTCCCTTTACCTCATCTTTGCCGTCAGTTTCTTCTTACAGGCCTCCAAAGAGCTACTTTTCTAAGCCTTGGCCTTCTCTATATTCCCATTCTGATATTTTTAAGAAAAAAATTCACAAGGATGAAGTAAAATGGCTAGAATGCGAAAGATAACCACTACAGAAAGAAATGTGAAAAGTCAATAGTGAGCCCAGAAATTCAGAAGATAGAAAAGGAACAGGCAAAAATACACTCCATGTGAATTAAAGACCTAAACATATAAAACAAAACAAATTCAAAATTATCTGAAAAAATATAGACTATCTTTTTAAAAATTATTTATTGCTTAAAGTATTACAAAGAGTATTACATATGTCTCCTTCCCCCCTCCCCCCCGGCCCTTGACAATCAATATAAAATATCTTTGAATTAGAAACATCGATCAGCTACCTCCTGCACCTCTTATACTGGGGATGTGCCCGCAACCCAGGTACATGCCCTTGATCGGAATCGAACCTGGGACCTTTCAGTCTGCAGGCCGACGCTCTATCCACTGAGCCAAACCGGTTTCGGCATCTTTATGCTCTTTTTAAAAAATATATTATATTGAATTTTACAGAGAGGAGGGGAGAGGGATAGAGTTAGAAACATCGATGAGAATCATCCATCCGCTGCCTCCTGCACACCTCCTACTGGGGATGTGCCCGCAACCAAGGTACATGCCGCTGGCCAGAATCAAACCTGGGACCCTTCAGTCCGCAGGCTGATGCTCTATCCACTGAGCCAAACTGGTTACGGCAAAAGTCTGGCCATTTTAAGTGTTGGTGATGGCCACACAAGAAACATCCAAACCTGAGTTTATTTGAGCCAAACTGACCACAACTGCCAGGAAGCAAAGATCTCAAATGCTTAAAAAAATGTCAGTTTGCAGTTTCTTTTATGCACATTAAGGAGGGACCTTACAGCCCAGTTGGTGTGGCTCAGTTGTTGAGTGTCGACCCATGAACCAGGAGGTCACGGTTAGGTTACCAGTCAGGACACACGGCCGGGCGCATTGTGGGCTTGGTCCCCAGTAGGGGGCGTGCAGGGGGCAGCCAATCAATAATTCTCATCATTGATGTTTCTGTAGCTCTCTCCCCTTCTCCTTTCCTTTCTGAAATCAATAAAAAATATTTATATTTCTTAAAAGGTTAACCTAGATGCACAAGAACAATGGACAGGGTAATTTAAAAACCTTTCACTAAAGAAGTTACAGGCCTGGGCAAAACTACCCAGTGTGACCTTCCCAGTTAGGAATATATGATGAGATCACCCTGTGAGGTTACTTTTGGTGAGATTTATTACAGCACCCTTTTCTTCCATCATGAGGGTGCAGAGAAGCTAGGAGGACTCTTATCCTGTAAAACTGATACAACTGCTTTGGAGAGCAACATGTTACTTGCTCAAGGTGAAAAAACACACATCCTTTGTCCCAGAGTCTATTGCCTCAGAGTAGTGTGTTTCTCAATCCACTAGTGGGTCCTGAAATCAATCAAGTGGGTCGTGTCCAGCATTTTACAAAAAATGAAATAGAATATAAAATGTAAGAAGTGAGTTTTGATATAAAATGTGTTTACTATGAGTCACGGTTAAAAACCAGTCTGAAAACACCGCTTAAGTTTCTTATACCTAAGGACAAAAAGACATCTTTGAGGATGTTCCCTGCAATGGTGTTTGTAATAATGAAACATGCAAGCACTGTACATGTCTACCAGTAGCAAACAGGTAAACAAACTGGAGTGTATTCTTGTGATGGAACAACGCACAGCAGCTAACATTGATGAACTTGGGTCTGTATCACCACATGAATTCTGAAAACAAATTTGAGGGAAACAAAACAGAAAAAATGCCACATTGTTAGCATTGTTAGGGGCAGAAATAGAATATTGGGGACTAGCTATAAGAAATAAAGTAAGAAATATTAATCATGCTCTGTTAACCGTGATTGTTTTGTTTTGATTTAAGAAAGCACATTTGAACCTGGCTGGGAGTTGTACATCCCCAGGACCTGGGAGTCAACCTTGGAATGAGGTCCATCAATGGCGTCCGGCCCCAGCTTCCCAAAGCCCACCTTGCCTACTTCTCCATGCCCGGGATTCCTGCTCCCCCATGTAATCTTTATCCTACCCAATATAAGCAGCTGGCTTCTGGGGGGCTGGAGAGCAGATGTTTGTGGGTGACCTGCTGCTCCCCCATTCTCCCAGCAGCACTGGAATAAATGCTCATATATGATCCAACTCTGTCTTCACTTGACTGGCTCAAGTCGTGACAGGCAGTCCGGACCCATTGGTTGTCCAGTTACAACATGAAACCAAACACATGGTTTCTTATTTTATTTTGAGAGCACGTTTATTAAAGTTGGGGACAGTGAAACAAGGAAGGGCTTAGGATAGAAGCAGCAACAGGAGAGAGACTACCAGGCCAGGCTGCTTTGGCTCTCTAGAGACGTTATGGGAAAGAAAGGAGCCAAGGCCGGGCTGCTGTCAGCTCACTGGAAAACCAGAGAAAAGGGGGCCGTGGTGACAGGCTCCGACGGTTAGCCCCGGAGGAGCTGCCACTGCACATTGTTCCCCTGGTGGCAAATCTTACGGGGACCCTCAGAGTGTAGGAGAGGCGTGGCTATTGGAGAGGAGGAGGAAGGGAAAGGCTCAAACATGCTCCGGGAGGCAGAGTGCGCCGGAATATTTAAAACATTAATTGCCGAAACCGGTTTGGCTCAGTGGATGGAGCGTCGGCCTGCGGACTGAGGGGTCCCAGGTTCGATTCCGGTCAAGGGCATGTACCTTGGTTGCGGGTACATCCCCAGTAGGGGGTGTGCAGGAGGCAGCTGATCGATGTTCCTCTCTCATCGATGTTTCTAACTCTCTATTCCTCTCCCTTCCTCTCTGTAAAAAAATCAATAAAATATATCTTAAAAATATACTATATACTACTTATTTATATATAAATATAAATTGTCATATAAATGCTCAAATACAGGGTATAAATGTATACACACTTTAACATCTGATAGCTTAGTTGATGTCTTCTTTTTCAGATTTAAACACTGGAATATATAATTATTCAGAGGGTGTAAACATTTTTGGGGGACACCCTGTATATATACGCAAAGTATTAAAAGTGGACTGACATAAAGGGGCAGCCTAAAGGAAGAAAGGGAAATGGGACTTGGGAGAAAATAGGTCTGACATTATTTATTCATTTTGGGTGGTAGACGCATAGATGAATGTTACAATATTCTTTGTTCTTTTCCTTTTAAAACATTTTTAACACATAAGGAAAAAGGAATGCAAGTAAGGCGTTTTAATACAAACCCTGGGTTATTAAAATTCTTTCACGCTGGCACTCTTTTTTCAGTGCCTTGGGAAGAATAACTTGTCGCAAACCAAACTCAATGAATCAGTATCTAAAGGTGGCAAGTCACTGCAGCTATTATCTGTCCTGGCAAGAGCTTTATCTTTTCCTGAAAAGTTTCCAGTCTTTCTTATCTTCGCACATTCCGTTCCCTCTTTCCAAAAAGCCAGTCCTCACAGTACTTGTCTTCGTCAGTCTCCAGTTTATCCTCCGTGATCTAGTTCAAACATGACTTCTCTGCATCTGGATGCACCACCATCACCACCAGCAGAATTTATTACTGCTCCTTCCTTTAACTCTCA